TCCGCGCGCAGGCCGGCGGGGACTGCGGGCGCCCTCCTGGCCAGTCTCTGAGCGACGCCAGCTGTGCCAGTGGGGAGAGCTGACACGCGGCGATGCCACACCTGACTTGACTGCCTCTCATTTGGCAGAGAGGGGGACCCCCAGGCTTCTGGACGCCCGCCACTGGGAGAGGACACCCAGTATGTGGCCTTGACCTCTGCGGCCCATTGCAGGGCCTCGGGTCCCCAGCCCGAGTGCACAGCCTGCTCCCAGAAGGAGACCCAGGGTGTGGGTGAATCTTCACTCGTTTTCACCCCAGAACCCTTGTACAGTTAAAAAAAAAATCGGGTTCTTAGAAGTAGGAAACTCATTAAGAGCATCCGAATGTCACCTCTACGCAGATGCTCTGGTGGTGTGTCCCCAAGTGCCTAGTGCTTCCATTTCCGTGTGAGGAACACTGATATTCTCAGGTCGTAGTTGCATGGCTCTTTCATTCTTCATCATCGACCCTTTGGGAAACATCAGCATAAACAACGCACTTAACAATACCAAAGGGGATTGGACCTGCCTTTTTTTGTTGTTGTTGTTGTTAAAAAAAAAAAAACAGAAACAGAAAGAAAGAAAGAACGCAATCTCTGTGAGCCGTGCCTCTTGCAGCGTTTATATTCTTTTCCGTGGGCACAAGTGAGCTTGATGTAGTGGTTTCCAAGCTTCCTCTTGTTTTCCTAAGTGCTGCTTTGTTCTTATTCTTTAACAAAAACATGAATCTTTTTATTTTACAAATTTTAACCATTAAATATTTGTTGTTATTGGAGTCAGTGTGGGATTTTAACCAATATCAAAGGTCCAGGGTCCTTTTATGCTTGAACAGTGTCTTGGATGTTTGTTTCTAAAGTCAGATGATAATTTATTTATATAAAGATAAATACGCGTGTCCACATTATAGGTTTTCAACAGAAGGAAGAGTATTGTTTCAAGTATACTTTGCCACAAGAGAGATTAAAATGGGAAATCTCAGGGGACTGAAGACTTATTCTGCCCCCACCCCTTCCTTTTACCCACAGGAGTTACAAGGAAAAGAATCACTTTTATGGAAACTTCTTGGACTATATCTTTTATACTATGCTTATACTAGAAGCATTTCCAGTGAAAGTTTAGGAATGAATTGCCCACTCTTGGTAAAGAAATTAGAGGTTTAATAGATGTGACCTACCATGGCATCATCCAGAGCAGAAGAATACATTGTTTTCACAGTGGAACCATCTGCAGTCGTTAGTTTTCTTTAACATTTCCTGGAATTCTTGATTGTCTTGGCTTCTGTTACTTGAACACAGATTGTCATGTGACATTAAATGTGAGGCAGATAATGTTTTCAAAGCTTAACTTGCCTTTGACAGTTCATATTTGTACATGATAGAAGGGGTGTGACCTCTATATGCTAAATGAAATTACCAAGCTTATATCTAAATTGTTGTTGATTTGAAATAAGACTGTATCGGCTTTTTCCATTCTTGTGCAAATTTAGACTGTCTTAGATCACTGTAGTATTTTTTTTCCTTTCAGTAATTGCTGAAAGGATAATTACTTTCATGTTAAGCAAGAGTAAAAATTGATTTTAAAAAATCCATTCAACACACATTTTATTGAGTGCCCCTACAGTTAACCAGGCCAGTAAAAATTAAATGGAGTCCAATTTTTCTTTCTTTTCCTTTTTGACACTAACTGATTAGAGATGACTGAACATGGGTGCAGCTCCAGAATAACAAAGTGTGAGATACAAATTTCTGATGCTGGCGATCACAATTAGCCTTGGTTGCTGGCTAGCCAAGATTTAGTGCTCCTTGTTAGGGTTCATTGATTTTATCAAATCTGAAATATTTGCACAGTATCTGTTTGCTGATAGTCCAGCTTTCTGTACCTTTCACAGTGATTACCATCAGATCTGCTTAATTAATCTTACTCTATTGAGAAAGACTCATTCCCCATGAAATGCCTGCATGTGGCACATGGCTATTTAACAGTAGCTGCTTAGAAACAATGTTGTCTAAGGCAGAAACATGAGTGCTTCTAGAGGAGGAAATCTCAAAGCATGTAGAAAGTGCCAACTCAGTGGAGAAGATGTCTTGGGGAGCCAGGAAGGTGAAGTAGTCATCCTTTTGCATGCAAGAGCCTGTCTACTTGGTAAAAACCCTGCTATAGAAGCATGGATGTGATACAGTTCTGCATAGTTGGATCCACAAGTTTTTAGTGGATAGTGTTCCTAAGATGTTTATTGAACTCACTGTGCTGTACAAAGTACTGTGGGGTTATTTGGTATAGTTCAAGATCCAAAACTTTCCTTCCATGAATGTTGTTAGGTGTTTGGGAAGATGTAAATAACTCCAAGACAAAGAGTATGTGGTGTCATATGTAAATGATATGAAGTCCGGCAGCAGGGGCCATTCTGGATGTGTTCATGGAGAGTGGTGTTGGAGCTAAAGGCAAGGCAGGGTTTTGTGATAGGAATGCATAGGTGGAGAAAGCCTAGAGACCAAGGAGTGGGCCCTGGTGACCTGGGCAGGTGCCTTTCTGTGCATTTTCATATGTAAAGGACAATTCGTTGGTTGTTGTGGCTGCAGCGGAAGACAGAAATGGACTGCAAGGTTGAAGTAGGGCTTGGGACCTTGGCTGTGGTCCTGGATTGCCATAAAGGACTAGCAAGGAAGTTTAGACTTTATCTTACAGACCATCAGGAGCCCTTGAAGTTTTTTGAGCAGAGTGTGCAAGAATCAAAGCAAATAAAATTAAATAAATTTAAATTAGGCTTAGCAGCATGCAGAGCCCTCCAATAGCCAGCTGTGGACTAAGTCCAGTGCATAGATGTGCTTATTTTACCTGAAGAGAAGTTTAAACATGTTTAATATATTGTCAACATTTGTAAGTGAGATTAACCATAAAATTTCAGGTTTCCATCATCTCCTTCACTATTAAGACATTCTAGCAATTCAGAGCCCTCTTCCCTACAGGATCACTGTGAACGGGAGCAGAGTGGCCCAACCCCCTCCACTGAGGCCCCTGTCTTTGCTCTCATTTCTTTTACCTACTGACTCCTGTGGGCATCTAGTTTGCAACCAGATTTGTGATAGGAATGCACAGGTGGAGAAAGCCTAGCCACCAAGGAGTAGCCCTACTGAACTGTTGTCTTTACTGTTAATTAGCTGAGTGTCCCTGAGCAAGTCATTTTCTTTCTCTGGATCTCAGTTTCCTTCCCAATAAAGTTAGGTTTGGAGTAGAAGTGTTCCAGGCCCCTCATGCTACGTGGTTGAACAAATAAAGACTAATCCAGAGAGGTAGTAGAGGGACTGGGCAGAAGAGGAGGAAGGCAGGAAATACTGCAAAGGGGAATTTTGTTGTTGGTTCTTCAAGTTCATGCATAGTGCTAAGTGGCTCTATTCATAAGGACATTGTCAGAAAGATTTATTTTGCACCTGGTGAGATGAAAACCCAAAATTTTTATGTCCTTTATTTGAACTTTTGATTCTCAATAGTTTGATTTTTTTAAAAGTCAACAGAGTTAAATGAAAATTGATACCAGTTGGCAGAGAAGAGGCAAAGAAGAGACTGACATTTGTTATGCATTTACTATGTGACACTTTATAGCTATTATCTAGTTTGAGCTCCCAGCTACTTCGTAAGGTATATAGTATCCTTACTGTTCATGTAGGGAAGCTTGTGTTGAATAACTTGCCCCAAGGTCTTTTATCAAGTAGGTTTAATGGCAAAGATATTTTTATTCCATGACCAAAGGCCACTGCTAGAGATTGGGGCTTGAAAAGAATGTGGTGGGAGAGTAAATGCGAAGATAGAAATGTATATGGTTTTTCTTGCTGTACTTAAGAAAAATCAGCGATTTTATGTTGCCCTTATATTGATTTTGCTTTGATACCATGTCTTTTCTGCCAGTAACTACATATGATTTATCTTTTAAAGAAAGAAAAGCACCACATTTTTCAGATAATCAAAGGGCTTGATATAAGTTGCTGGTCATTTTTATTTATTTCCTAAGAAAAAATTCTCTTTAAAAAATTTTGTTTATACTTATTGATTTCTTGACCTTCCTTATACATCTAATGTGGTATTTTTTCCTCTACCACGTTTTCTTGGGAATAAATGTCTAAGGCATCAGGAAGGAAGAAAGAGGCAGGTTACCGCAAAGCAACTGGATCCAAGCTATGTTTAAAAAAAAAAAAAAAAAAGAGCAACATTTTGTTAGAGAAACTGAGTTTTAGTGCACTTATGAATTTGGCAGAACAGGTGTCTACATTTAAATCTACCTGACACCCTCCTTATGGCTTGATTTTTACTGACTAGTTATAATATTTGCACTGATACACTCAGCCAAATCCAGGCTATGGGAAACTGCCAGTTTGCAGGTTTGCA